ATTGATCAAGTTCAATCTTCACACACACATGGTACATCATGTCACAAATAGATATGTGCCTTTGTTTCATGATCTGCTTAACAATAGCGAAATGATGGCCATTTTAAGGCCGAAAATGCATCAAAATCACGTATTTTCACAATTCCAGAACCGGATCTCAGTCATGCATGGATGGATTTTGTTCAGATTTAGCACAATGTGTTGTACATATGCAGGTGCATTTCAGTCATGATCTGCTTTGAATGTATATGTCACTCAAATATGAACGGAACGGGGACGTGTCATTGACAATGACTTGTTTTTTTTCATTTAATTTAAGCAGGTTTACAAATTGCAATCTTTTGGAATACAAACAGATTTATCAATATTTTACGCAATGCTCATTTCAAAGCCAGTGTTTTTTACGTTCTCAAAATATTCTGCGTTCATGAAATGCAATGCGTTTGAATTACAGAGAGCAAGTGCAAAACATAGTTGAGATATATTGTAGAAAATATACAAAATGATTTGTCCACGAAGCCAAAACGGGCCATTTGTCAAAATAAAACTTACAACAATATGATACATTTGCACATGTACGGTCGTCTACGACACATTTTCACAAGTTGTCAAATTCAAGAAAAATAGCAAGAATATGCTTTGTTCTCGAAAGATTCACCACAGAAAATTGATAAAGTAAAAAAGTGTGTGGGAAAAAATAACTAAAATGTGTATTTAATTACAAATACCACAGAAAACTAATCCGGCCGCCATGTTTGATGTTTTTTACCACTTTCCGAATTCAGTACATAAACACCCAGAATACACTGTTCCCCTATGCAACTTGGATGCTAAATAGTTACAGCACCAACAGCGGTGGGTGAATAGGGTAGGCCTAGAGATAATCAGTTTTCCATCTCTATGCAAGACTTCTGCTCATAACAATACATACTAGAGGTGATTAACATGATATATTGTTCTGTAAATTAATCAATTCTGTATGGTATTTTTCGGTGGAGAACACTGGATAATGTTTGGTCAAAAACAATGGTTGAGTGAAATGCTATCATTTACCTGTAGCCCTGTAGAAAATACTTTATTTTCGCTTGGAATTTATCTTCGTTTTTTTTGCTGAGGGGATGATAAAGCCCAGCGAATATACCATTTCCCCTATATCTTTCATTCAACTAGTCCGTACAAAACACCCCAAAAGTCAGTGAAAATTAATTCCAGTATTTTACAGTTTTCACAAACAATCTATTTAAATTCCTGTGTGGTCAAGAGCAATGAATTTTCACAATCGTGTTCAATGAATGGAATCATAGACCTTAGAAAACATGTTCTCTAAGGTCTATGATACAGTTCTGTTTCAAGCAAAATCAACTACCGGTACTTTACATGTAATGTAAGCAAATATAGCAGGGTTATTAAACTACAATGTTGATTTATCCTGTACCTGATATACCATGCTCTTCCATTATCATGCTTTTTTGATTCAATTTCTTTAATCAGTGGTATTTCCTATTCACTTGTTTTTTTCTTTTAAAACACACTAGTTGGGAGATGAGAATAGATCCACATGGAAGACCATATTATGTTGACCATAATACCCATACCACTACATGGGAAAGACCACAGCCTCTTCCACCTGGGTAGGTAGTAAGTCATGTTTACCAGTTCATGGACCATTCACTTGGGCACACTCTCATTGGCCTAGGCTGTTCTTGCAAGGAATATATATTTGGGTATACAGTGAAATTCTTTAACATACGCCCATTTTACAAAGATCAAATGTGCATTTCACTAACTTGTGCACATATTCATTGAAAAAAAATGATGCAATGATTCATTTACAAGATCAAATGTGCATTTCACTAACTTGTGCACATATTCATTGAAAAAAAATGATGCAATGATTCATTTACAAGATCATATATCCCATGTCGTCAAGGAAATGTTGAATTGAAGCATTGATTTTCACCAGATTCATCTGAACCTCACAGCATACGTACACGACTCGCTACTGAATTCCTAATTCGATTAACTTGCTAATATTTCAGTTGGGAGCGACGTACAGATCCAAGGGGTAGAGTTTATTATGTAGATCATAATACTAGGACCACAACGTGGCAGAGGCCAACAGTAGATTCCGTAAGGAACTTTGAACAATGGCAACAACACCGAACTCAAATGCAAGCAGCTGCCATGCAGCAATTTCAACAACGGTTTATTATCCCGGTATGTATTGTCTTGGTCGCATCAATAACCCAATTGTGTCTGCATGTAATATATTCAGGAATATCTATAAGGTAGAGAAACTGTCAGTTGCCAATTTGATATGTGTAGTGTATACTGGAGATGGAATTACTGGGCTGGAATTATCATCCATCTGTGAAGAGCATACTTAATTTTTAAATTATAGTCTGGAAACGTTTGTGGATTGTAACTGACAGTGTT